CCCACCCCATAATAAAGAAACAATTTCTGGAGGATGAGGCCCAGAAATCAGGATTTTAAAAAGATTCCCAGGTGATTCTAATGTGCAGCCAAGGTTTAGAACCACTGCACTAGAGCAAAGTGAGCCTGGAGCAAGTTACTGTGGCGGTGGGGGATGGAGGGAAACCAAAGGTGAGAGACATAAGTAAAATCAGAGTGTCTAGGAAAAATTAAAGGGAAGATATCCTAAAACTTCCAGGAAATCTCCAATGAAGCAAAGAAAAAGAAAAATGCCTCTATTATTCTGTGAGCAACAAACCAAACTGAGTTGGGGTCTCAGACAATTCACTCATATGATTGCAAAGAGAGACAGAAACTCCCAGATTGGAGAGGGCTCCCCTGAGGGCTCCCAAATTGGAGAGGGTGCAGGTTGGGCTAAGGGACCCCCACACCCACCAGTGCACGAATGTCGTGCACCGGGCCTCTAGTATAATATAAAAGGTATATGTAACATGGCATCCTCCTCCAATTTTATCTCCTATCACCCTTCCCCAGCTTACTCTATCTCAGCCTTGCTGATAATACTCCCCAAATTGATCTACAGATTCAACATAACCTTATCAAAACCCCAGCTGCCTTTTTTTAACAAACTGACGAGCTGATCCTAAAATGCATATGGAAATGAAAAGAACCCACAATAGCCAAAATCATGTTTACAAAATACACCAAAGCTGGAAGAATTATAGTTCCTGATGTGTAAGCACACACAAAGCTACAGTAATCAAGATAACATGGTACTGGCATAAGGTCAGTGGAATAGAATTGAGAACCCAGAAATAAATGCTATCAGTTATAGTCAACTGAGTTTTGAAAAGGTGTCAATAATTCAATGGGGGAAGAACAGTATTTTCTTTTTTTAAATATGTTTTTATTTATTTTAATAATAGAAAGAAAGAGAGAGAGAGAGGGAGAAAGAAAGAGAGAGAGAGGAAAAAAAAGAGAGAGAGAGAGAGAGAGAGAGAGAGAGAGATGATGAAAATCATCGATCGGCTGCCTCCTGCATGACCCCTACTAGAGATCAAACCCACAACCCGGGCATGTGCACTGACCAGGAATTGAACCATGGACCTTCTGGTTCATTGGTCAATGCACAACTACTGAGCCACACCAGCCAGGCAAGAACAGTATTTTCAACAAGTGGTGTTGAGATAACTGGATCTCCACAGGCAAAAGAATGAAGTTGGACTTCCATCTTATAACAGATACAAAAAATAAACTCAAAATGGATCGTACATCTAAATTTAAGAGTTAAAATGATAAAATTCTTAGGAAAAAACATAACCCTTGTGACATGGGCTTAGGTAATAATTTCTTAAATATGACAAAAAAGGATAGCCAAAAAAAATAGATAAATTAGACTTCATCAAAATAAAAAACTTTTCCACTTCAAAACACTACCATAAAAAAGTGAAAGGACAATTAACTCTCAGACTGAGAGAAAATACTTTCAAATCATATACCTAATAAGGGAACTATGTCTGGAATATATAAATATATCACTCAAAAATACTAAGAGAACCTTATTTAAAAATAGGAAAATTACTCAGAAATAAAAGGAATGAACTATCTGACAGACTAAGCACTGTGTTTAGAGAAAAAAGTTAATCTCAAAAAATTATTAAGAGGGTTAGGATATATAACCCCAAAATATGCTACTTTGGCATAAGGATTATTTTTAGCTGAAAGGAACTGAGAATCAACACATAACAGGAAGAATTAGTTCTCTGCCCTCAAAAGCAAGGCATAAATTCCCCTTTGTGAAGGTGTCCCTCTCTCCCTTACAAGGAAAAGGAGAGCAACTCTTCTCATCAGAGACATAGAACAGACACTGCGATGAATTTGCATAAACAAACCTTATGAAAATAACTTCCATTAGCTTCCCCAAATATT